GCAGCATCAATAGACTCAAGCATGGCAACATAGTGAGGTTGGCCCAGGATCCGGCAGTGTTTTGTTCTGCTGTGCATAGCGTTGCTGTGAGTCGGTACCAACTTGATGGCACCTAGCAACAACAACAAGCAGAAGCAAGTGAACACTGATTATCTTTCTTTTAATTTAGGTCTTCTCTGTGTACAAGACTTTCAGCTCCCTGGTTGAATTTATTCCTAGTTATTTCGTTCTTTGGGTGCTATTGTGACCATTACTTTTGTAAAATAAAATAAAAATGAATTGCCAGAAAAAAAAGTAACAAAGATACACAGATATTAAGCCCACTGATCATGTGTTTATATGCTATCAATTCGATTGCCACTGAAAGCAACCCTATAAGACAGGGTAGAAGTGCAGTTTTTATGGGAGTAGATTGCCAAGTCTTTTTGCCTGTGGAGTGTTGCAACAACTGACCTTTCAGTTAGCAGGAAAGCAATTAATAATTGCTCCACCACGATTCCTTATAAAACTTTTACACACTTTCAATTTCTTTATTTTATCTCAATTCAGGGACTGGCATGGGTCCATAGACCACACTCAAAAAACCAATTTTAAAAGTTCAACCCCATTTCTCGTATCCAACACCTCCTCCACCCTCTCTCTGTTAACTTTTCAGGTGAAGCCTCCAATGAATTGTTCTCCTAGTGGTGACAAACTGATTTAAAAACCTTATCATGCAAATAATGCATAGTTATTGTAGAAATAAGTAAAAATAATCATATTTTGAATTCCCTTCTGTCATCACTTGTAATATAATATATTTTTTATGTGTGTGTATGAATGTATGTTCTAATATAGAAAGGAGAAACAAACACAAGTAGGTTGTCTTACAGATAAATTTAACATAATTTTCCAGATCAATAGATATATTTTCAGCATTTTTCTTAATATCCTCACAGTATTCTATTGTATGAATGTGTCATAATATATTTAAGCAATCCTCTATTCAATCAGTCAGCTAATACTGTTTATTGCTTATCTACCATTTGCTAAAAATGAGGTATGTGGTAATAAACAAGAAAGAGTGTGATGGAACTTACATTGTAGGTAGATTAATCAGATAATAAACATTTTTAATACACAAATAGGGATATTAATTCTTTCAAAAGGAGATAGCTTAACTGATTTTTTGGGGTGAACATCTACACAAGTTTTAACCTATATCACAGAAAATTTGAAGAAATAGGTGTGTGCAAATAAGCCTGGGTGAAACTATTTAAATCAAAGTGCCCAATAAAACTGGTTCAAACGTGCCACACAGTATATTAAAAGAGATTAAAAGAAGTTTTAAATTTCTCCCTACAAAATTTAGATAGAATTTGAGAGAATGATGAAATTTGTATTAATCAGCATCAATGCTATCACACTTACGTATACACAATTTGCTTTATATATGAATATAATTAATTAAAATACTGATGTTGTTAAGTGCTATGAAGTTGGATCTGACCCATAGTGACCCTGTATAGGGTTTCCAAGGAGAGGCTGATAAGTTTGAACTGCCAACTGTGTGGTTGAAATGAACTTTGCAGTCACATGCATTAACCCACAGTGCCACATAGAGATAAAAATAACACAATTTTGGGGAAGAATACTAAAATTCCCATAGAATATTTCTGTTACACTATTTGTGTTT